TGCTGCTACTTCCTGTCAACATTGCTCTCTTCCCCTTATTTAGGCTATAATTTTGACATGTGACCTCTGACCTCAAATGTTTTCCAAAAACACACCTAGAAGACCAAAAAAAGGTGGTGTCCAAAGAACTCAGAGTTTGTGTGTAGACTGATTCAGAGGTTGAATCCAGACTGTCAGCTGTAACTGAGTCTGAGTTGGGTTAATGCACCGCCTCCTAACTTCATGGGGTGAAGAGTCAGAGGTCACAAAAACAGCTGGCGCCCTCTGCTGGTGCAAACAGAACTGACATCACTACAACGTTCAATCACAAACATGCCATCAACATTCACACCTGTCTGAGAATCAGCTGTTAGCCTCACAGGCAGGTGTTCGGACTGTGGGAGGAAGCTGGAGAACCCAGAGAGAACCCACACAGGAACAAGTGCTTCCACACTCCGGTTCACATCAAACTGCAAAAAGAGCTTTTGTAGAGCTTCTGCGCTCGCCGACCACTTTATTAGGTAACCTTACTACTGCCATGTTGGTTCTGTTTTTACTGTGAGAGCTGCTTTAATCCTTCATAAATGAGCAAGGTGCTGGAAACGTTGGTCACAGCCTTCACTCCATGATGGCATCTCTGCTGCCACATGCTTCCCCTTCAGAATATTAGAAAACTGTTTCATTTAAAAAAAAATAACATGATTTCAATTTTAATTTGATGCTCACTCAGCTCTTTATCACACACACACACACACAGGACAGACTCACAGAGACTCATGTGTGGCCATTGTTCAGGCCTATGACAGACTTTAAGCCTGGTTTTAGTTATTGTGAAGTCAAACGATGATTTTAATACACGCGTGGGAAGATCATCGTTTGACTTCACCCGGCTGGATCAGTGTGGTTATTCTTCGATCCCCTCTTGTACCCTTCCTCAATATTGAACCCTTAACAGTTTTAGACTCCTCAGGAAACATAATTCTGGCTAACGTTACAGTCTGTAACATTTCTCTCCTCTAGATGTCAGCAGAGGTCTGTTTTCTTACTGTTATGGGACAAATCAAAAACATTCAGTATAGAGTAACTGGAACCACAAATGGCGTGGACATGTTTGTGTAATTACAGCGTTGGTCAAGTTCCTTGAAAATAGTAATTAGTTACTAATTACTGATTACTTATTTTTCAAAAGTGATTAGTTACTTTATTACTTAGTTACTTTGTAAAAACAGGATGCAAAACCTGAATACAAAGTTAAGCAATTGACTTTTCAGCCCAATTCTATGTTTTCTGTACAATACATCATATAAATGTAATCAAATGAAAAAGCCTCTTTTTAAAAATTGTTTTATTAGTTTTAATCTTTTAACTTCATGCATCAAACAAACATTAAATTATATGCAACAGTCTTTGACTTGAAGAAATGTAAATAAATAAAATGATTTTGTGTTTAAACTCACTCTTTCACTCTCACAAACAGAATCACTGTTTAGTAATGCAGCATGCTTATGGGAAAGTAACAATAATCTAATTACTTTGTTGCAATAGTAATCCCATACTCTACTCGTTACTTGAAAAAAGTAATCGGATTACAGTAATGCGTTACTTTTAACGTGTTACTGCCCATCTCACAGAATGAGTACAGCATCATGTTTTTTATTAAATATCTTCAAAAAATGACTGACTGTACCTTTAAGTGTATTAGTTTATGATGATTCTTCAGGGTGCCACATGTACACTGTACCACTCACTGTCAGCTGGACAGGCTGAGGCTTTCGATCTGACCAGCTAACATCACAGCAGCCAGGTCCAGTTTATCCAGCTGAGGTGAAGCCTAGCAGACAGCTAGCAGGTACAGCTGCCTGTATAATAATAATGCACACTTTCAGCTGTAACACAGGTTAAACAGGTGAGTTATAATAACAGGTGTTATAAAGGAAGAAATGATCTACAGAGTGCAAACAGTTTGTGTTACCGGCTGTGAACATGTTGACTCTGCTGTAACAAACATTTTCATATAATAAATATTCTACTCTATCCTAAAGTTTTAACAGGGGAGTCTCCGGGGACAGACTCACTGCTGCCTCTGCTGGACACCAGAGGAACTGCAGGCTCATGAGCTGCTTTTTGTTTTCCCAGCATGCACTGCGAGCGAGTCCTCAGTAATCCCAAATGTAACCCTAACACCAAAGCCACATTTTTAGTGTGAAAAATGCCTTCAACCCCGTGGGGAACTGGATTTTGGTACGTATGAGGACTGTTGGTCCCCACCAAGATAGTAAGAACCTGTAGACACGCACGCACGCGCGCGCACACACACACACACACACACACACACGCTTTCTGGCCGTTAATATGAATATTTATGACCTGCAGGGGGCGGGCTGCAGCGCTTATATAAATGTGTGATTGGCAGCTGCTGGTAGCCAATCAGCTCACAGGCAGTGGCTCCTTCTCATGAATATTCAGCAGCAGGTGAAGCAGAAGGATCCTCCCTCCCCCTCCCCCTCCCCCACGTGTAAATGAAGCTGATGAAAAGAAGAAGAAAAAACAAACGGCAGTATCTTTGTTACCGTGGTCACACACACTGCCGTAACCATGGTGATGGGCTCATTGACACTGTGACTGACAGCTGAATGTAGATGATGATGTAAGGACTTCTGAACAGGAGGAGTTTCCTGCCTTCTAATTGGCTCCAGATCTGTGATGTTAGCAGCGAGTGTCTTTACATGATTTTTACTTTCACGTTTCATTTTTCTCTCCTTTCTGTTAAAATATTTTTTAAATCTTTGTCAGCTTTCTGTGATTTTGTTCTTATTCTCATATTTTTACTTTATCTTGGATACTTTAGTTTTTTCTATGTGCAGGATTTATTTCTTCCCTGTTGGTTTGATTCTTTTTCAGCATTTCTTCATTCGTCTGGTTTTACTGGCCGAAGCTTTTTGCTCCTGACTTTCTGTTTAAACTGCTCCGGTGTTGCAGCAGCAGGAGGATATTAACACTGTGTCAGCTCCAGATCTCAAGCTTAGACAGCTTCGTCTGTGTGCAGCACAGATGATGATGATGATTTCAGAGATTTGTCAGGACTTCACCTGTTTGACCTCAGAATACCTGAACTGTCTGTGTGCAACCAGAGACCACTGAGCATGTGCAAACGTGAGCCCCAGGAGTGACACGCGCCATGTTCAGTCAAACATGAACACACACACAGGTCACAGCGTACCTGCGTAATAAAGCTCGTCCTCCAGCCTCACTGTAACAGAAACACTGTGTTCAAATATTAGAAAAGTGATGAAGATTATTTGGTAAAAAGCTGCTTCAGAGAAAAATAACGCAGCGTTAACAGCACGGGGCAGAGGACGCACACACACACGGTGTCACTCACACTGAAGGCGGGCTCAACATTAACGAGTTACAGTCAAAATCTCTGCTCATGTCAAAGTTCAAAAAGCCGTCCAGCTGTTAAAATGTGTAACGAGCAGTACAAACGCAAACACCATGCACATAGTTCACTCATACATGTGTATTGCTTATTATTATTTTCCCCTCTTTACTTTTGCACTTTGTGGTCCAGCTGCCCGATTTCGCTGTGCAAGACAATTACAATAAAACTCTAAGTCTAAGTCTCAAAACTGCTCCTGAATAAGTCCTGTGGGCTGCAGTCTGGACTCTTGGCTGTGGGGGTCAAAGGTCAAAGGACAGCTGGGATCCTGTCCAATCAGGTGTGCTCCTCAGCCTGCTCCCCTCGGGGATTGGTGATCTCGCCCCGATCATTGATCCTGTACACAGACACGCGTGAGAACAACTGGAATGTGTGTTAGTGTGAGTCGTGTCCTCAGAGTCCGAGCTTCAGGTGAGCTGAGAACACGCTGTCATGCACAGGTGAGGTCATCCAGACGTGTTCCCGCTGAAACAGGCGTATGTGAGGAAAGCTGATGCTTGCCGTTATAATCATCATCATTTCTTTGGTTTTATGCTCATGATTTGTGTCTGTGGTGGAGGTGTGGTCTCAGGTGATGGAGGTGTGGTCTCAGGTGATGGGGGTGTGGTCTCAGGTGGTGGTGTCAGGTTACAGCAACATGCTGCTGGCTGCTCCTGCAGGAGGAGGAGCAGGCGTGTGTGTGTGTCAGGTTACAGTTTGCTGTGTGGCTGATTGTTGCGATCATGTTCCAGCACACAGATCAATAAACGGTCAGGTGACCTCACAGAGAGTCAATAATGTTGGTGTGACGCTAAATCCAGGTGACCTCTGACCTCTGTGAAAAGTCCTGGCTTGTCTTTGATCGTGGTTGTGCTAAAGGTGTGTGTGCGCGCGTGCAGGTGGATAAGAGTAACGTGATCTGGAGCTGAAGTCTCGCGGTACTTCCGGCTGAAACGAGCGCTCCTGTGTCGGGGATATTTCCATATCCATCAATTTTACACCACTGCAAGTAAATGTGTCTGCGCGTGCCCGCCCTGCCAGTGCCGCGGGAGCGCGCAACTGCAGCAGATGAGCGCGGGGAGGGCCGGGGGAGCGTGCACGTTCACACTCACTTCTCATCGCTTTAATTTAGCAGAAGGGGAGGAGAGAGAGGGAGAGAGAGGCAGGGAGAGAGTAAGAGAGAGCTCGCGCACAGTCTCGCGGACCGTCGGAGCTTCCGCAGCATCGGACCTGGAAACCAAACCGAACCAGCACCGCTGCCCAGAAAACCCACAGCACCGGAACGCAGCGCCGGGCGCGTGCTCAGGTGAGGAGCAAGAGGAGGAGCGGACCGAGGCCGAAGCCCGAGCGGAGAGGCCGGGGACGGTGCAGCAGAAGCCGGGGCCGTTGCCACGGAAGAGTCTGTGTGAAAGCAGGAGAGGAGCACGGAGGAACACCTCCGCCTCCGCCGATGGGGTAGAGCCGGCTGGCGTCCGCAGCAGCCCGCAGAGCCTCGGACGGTCCGCGCTCACCTGCCCGCCCCGACCCGCGGGGCCGGTGATGTAGCAGCCGCCCCCTCCCATCGCATCCACCCACCGAGTACCGCCGCCTCCTCCGCCCAGACTCCCACCATGCCTGCGGGGATGAAACCTCTGGAGAAGTTCCTGAAGAAGCAGACCACGGCGCTGACCCGGGCTGGGGGCTTCGTCGGCGGGGTGGCAGATAAAGCCGGCGGCACCGGGGCGTCCCGCCGCAGGGCCAGCCTGTCCCGGGTCGTCCCGTTCTTCAGGGAGACGTCACCGGAGAGCGGCCAGGCTCGCGAGGTGTTCAGGTGAGTCAGAGCGGGTTCGTGGGGGATGAGCAGCAGGTGGACCGCGGTCCTTAAAGGGGTCCCGGGACTCCCCGTCTGCAGGTGAACCCGTGATTCAGTCACGTGATCGCAGACAGCTTATGTAAGCCGGTAACGCTGCGGTTACAGTCAGACCCGCGTTACCTGAATGTTACCTGCGTGTTTCCGACACCTGTGACATACTCACACGGTTTACCTTTAAATACAAGCTTGCTGTTGTGTTGTTAACTCCTGTGAGCTGGATTGATTTACACTGTGAGCCGCAGCTGGCGACAATGGGAAGGAAAAACTCCCTTTTAACAGGAAGAAACCTCCAACAGGCTCAAGGAGGGGCGGGGCCATCTGCTGTGGACCAGCTGAAGGCTTTTCAGGGAGTTTTTAGGACTTCCTGATAATAATGAATTACAGTCGTCCAGCCTGGAAGTAATAAATGCATGAACTAGTTTTTCAGCATCACTCTGAGACAGGATATTTCTAACTTTAGAGATGCTGCACAAATGGAAGAAAGCAGTCTTACATATTTGTTTAATATGTGCGTTGAAGGACATGTCCTGGTCAAAAATGACTCCAAGGTTCCTCACAGTGTTACTGGAGGCCAAGGTAATGCCATCCAGAGTAAGAATCTGCTCAGACACCATATTTCTAAGCTTTTCAGGACCGAGTACAATAACCTCAGTTTGATCTGAATTAAGAAGCAGAAAGTTAGCGGCCATCCAGGTCTTTATGTCTTTAAGACATTCCTGCAGTTTAACTCATTGGTGTGTGTTATCTGGCTTCATGGACAGATAGAGCTGGGTGTGTAGAGCTGTGGAACTCCATAATTGACCTCAGTGTGAAGAGGACTCTGTCTGAGTATTAATTCTGTGTGAAACTCTTTGTGCTCGTTGTTTCAATTTTTCTGAAAAACGTCAATTCCTTGATTCAGACTTTAGTTTACATCAGACTGATTCACAGCAGGAACAGCAAAAAGATCACTGACATCAGGAGAGAAGTGAGTGAAAGACTGACATTCGTTGGTTTAGCCGTCAGTAACAGCTGACTCTGGCTCGATGCTGCCACGCTGATGTTGATGTGATGGACGACACTTTAACAGTCTGGGATCTGTCCTGCTCCTCGTCAGCTCCGTGTTTTACTCTTGAACTTGTTCCTGGCTTTGCATGATCCATAGTTTATAATAATCCTTCTGTATCTGAGCCTCAGTGCAGCTCCTCACTTCATCCTCTGTGTGAAGCAAGCTGTTTTACCTTCTCATCAAGGTAAACTTCTTCTGATTAGGTGGGTGGGGCTTCTATCCTTTCTATGACATCATTCAGGTGTTCAGTGTATAAAACTGATAGAGTGTTTCCAGCAGTCTGAGCTCCCAGTGATTACTGTTCACACACTGAGCTCATTACTGGAAACGTAATAGTTAATACAGCCCTTCTCAATAGGCTTCCAGATACCAGCCAATCAGAACACAATGAGCTTTCAAAGAGGCGGGTCTTAAAGAGACAGGAGCTAAAACGGCTTGTTTCAGCCGGCGATGAGCTGAGGGCCGGTTTAGGGTGAATAAGGATTGTTTTGAATCATGCAAAGCTGACGTCCTCAGAGGTCTCGTCAACTTTATCGCCTCAGTGACGACTCTGATTAAATAAGACATTCAGATTCAACCCCAAAACGAAACCACCACACACACTCTTCAATAAATCTGCAGCAGAGACAAACTCTGACATTTGACCTTTGACCCCCCCACAGCCCTGACAGTGAGGACCCGCCCTCCTGGCCCTCAGCCACAGGGACCGGTGTAGTGACTGCCCCCAGCAATGCTAATGGCTCCGGCTCTGGTTCGGGGTCCGGTTCTGGTTCTGGAGGAGGAGACGTCCGCAGCCCGTCTCTGTCCAGTGACGAGCAGAGCTCTGAGGCGAGCCTCATCACGGATGGGGGAGGAGGAGGAGGGGGGACACCTGTTCATGCCGATACCCCGGAAAACCTGACGCTCGCCGTGCTGGACAGCGTGGTGGGAAAACGCTTCGGACACTGCAAAGGTAAGAAGTGAGATTCACGAGCCCGGCTCACGTGTGACCCCAGGAAGTCTGAAGGTCCAGTTCTGGATCTCTAAGGTACTGAACGTCTCTGTGAGTGATGGAAGTGTGGAGCAGCAGGTCGGCAGGCGGACGGCACGCTCGCGCCCACAGGCCACTGCGACCGTGCCGTCAGTGAGCACGCTCAGTGTGCTGATTGGTCAGACGTCCACGTTCACATCTGACCAAACGAACGGCACCAGAGTTCAGTCAGTGCAGGCCTCTGTTTGTACCACGACCTGTTTTATACTGTGTGTGTTTCTGAGGCTCCTCAGCCTCCAGCAGGTGTGTGTGTGTGTGTGTGTGTGTGTGTGTGTGTGTGTGTGTGTGTGTGTGTGTGTG